GTTGCATATTGTAAGATTCATTGTTTAAATCAGCGTTTTCCAAACTGAGAGGCGCGCCTCCCTAGGAAGGCACGGACTAGTCTAAAGGGAGCCGCGAAAATTAGTCACAGTGAACAATTTTCCAAATTACTGCTAAAGTTTTCTATGTAAAAAATGAGAGAATAAATGAAAAAATACCATCGTGCTTTATTGTGCATAGTTCAACTAAACATTTCGTAACTTAGCATCCATATACCTAGACGTCCTAGACCTCGGCAAATCTTTTAAACCAAGGCCGTCGTTAATTTGACGACACTAGCGGCACTCGACCGACACAACTTAACAAAATCCAGATGCGCGCGCACTAACGCCACTGGATGCCACACATCCAGAAAAGATCGACGCACGTTTAGCTCACCAGTTTCGTGTCACAGCTAATATTTAATTGGTTCAGCAGTGTTAGGTTGTGTTTCTATTGTTATTGACGTGATTGCCCATCGATCATAATAGTAAATAGTTTAATAGTTTTATTTTTTTAGAATAATGTAATATTATTCCTAATATTTCCAGACAAATGGATAAGTTTTTGATGGGATATAAGCGAAAATCCACCAATAATGAAGATTCTAATGTTGGCAAAGGAGTGGGAATACAAGCCACAAGGAACAGGAAGGAAGAACTCCCAAGACAAGGAAATACGACTAATTCTATTTATCGTTCGGATTTACTAATATTATTAACGATAATGTGGAAAAACCAATGTGTTTGTTGTGTTCAAAAGTTTTGGCTGCTGATGTTATGAGACCCGGTTAATTGAAACGGCACCTTGAAACTATTCATTCTGAATACGTTGGTAAGCCCCAAGAATTTTTTCAGTGAAAATTGGATGAGTTATCTTAAAACAAGCAAAATTTCAAAAAAAATTGCTCATATTCCATCAAACGCATTACTAGCATCATACCTAGTGTCGTACAGAAAAGCGCAAAGTAAAAAACCCCACACAATAGCAGAAACCTTAGTTTTGCCAGCAGCTATTGATATGGTCAAAACAATGTTTGGCCAATCTTATGCTATTCAGCTGCGACAAATACCGCTTGCTAATAATACAATTGGCAGAAGAATTGATGATATATCTGAATATCTTTGTGACCAATTAGTTTCTTGAATGCGTACTGCAAAATACAAGTAGCCATACAAGTAGATGAAGCTACTGATGTTAAAAGCGCACATTTAATTGCATATGTTCGATATGTTGACGATACTAATGTAATTGAAGATATCTTATTTTGCAGACAAATTCCTGACAGAGCCACATCCAGTGAAATTTTCAAAATAATAGACAGATTTTTTAATGAGAACGACATAATGTTGGAATAATTGCATTGGGCTCTGTACTGACGGTGCACAATCAATGGCGGGACACAAAACTGGTCGTCAAACACTAGTTAAAATGAAAACACCTGAGGTTCTCTGGACGCACTGCATGCTCCACAGAGCAGCTCTCGTATCAAAAACTATAAGCGAGGAACTTAACAATGTTTTTGCAAGGTTGTTCGCAAAACTGTGTGAAGATATGCGAGCTAAATGCACGTCACTTCTGTACTATTGTGAAGTGCGCTGGCTATCTCGTTCAAAAGTGATTCAAAGGGTACTTGAACTCAAAGAAGAAATTGCTATGCTTCTCGAGGAAAATCATAATGAAGACGGCAATATGTTTAGGGATGATAATTTTATCGTTAAACTTACATATTTGGTTGACATTTCTGAAAAATTGAGTGTTCTTAATAAATCAAGGCAAGGACAGCAAATGCATTTGCTTATACAAAAAGACAAAGTGAGAGCATTTATTAAAAAAGTGGAGCTATGGAAATCAAATTTGCAAAATAATAAGATTGACAAGTTTCCACGTTTAAATTTATGCTCCCGAGATAACATAGAAGCAAACAAAAATCTCTTTGTGGAACACTTGAATGGTTTGTTGCTTCAATTTTTGATCTTGACTTTACAAAGTTTGCGTGGATGCAGAATCCATTTATCGACGAAGAAGATTATGAATTTGGATTGACAAGTATTGAAAAAGAAAAATTTATTGAATTGTCTTGTGATACTATATTAAAACATAAATTTCAGACTGTATCTCTGGTTCAATTCTGGATGAATTTTCATACAGAATATAACACTTTGTCAAACAAAGCTTTGAGAGTACTGCTGCCGTTCGCAACATCATATTTATGCGAAACGGGATTTTCTGCTTGGCTGCATTGAAATCCAAATATCGATCTCGTTTAGTTGTAGAAAAAGAGCTACGAGTAGCTATATCGTCATAAACACCAAGATTTGATCAACTTTGTGCTAATAGACAAGCACATCCATCTCATTAAAAAAATAGTAAAATATCGTTTTCCATTAGTTTATATGAATAAATTTTAAAAGAGTAAAAATGTTTGTGTTTTTATTTTATGAAATCTTCAGGGGGGGGGGCGCCAAACGATTAAATATTTTTAAGGGAGGCGTAGTAACATCAGGTTTGGAAGCCACTGGCTTAAATAATCGCTTCATTCTGCTAGATATTTAGATTACAAGGCTTTCTCTGAATAAAGATGATTAGCAAATACCATCCTCATCTTTCGATACATTCTAAAACTTACATTCGTAAATTTACCATAAAATGACGCACAGCATAATTCTTCAAATACGATTACAGCTACATTTACCACCAAATACTGCTACTATGATTATTTTTATTTTCTTATATATGTTACCAGCAAAGTATGAAACGCCGGTATTGAATAGAATGCCTAAGCATTCTATACAATGCCGGATGTTTTTAGGCAAAGTATGAAATATGTGAGGTATTACATACTTTCCCTAGGCTTTCTATAAAATGACAAAAGTTATTTAATCAAAATAAGAAAAAAACATACTGATGAGGTCATTATGTTATATTAATGATGTGCATGTTACTGGGAATGACCGAAATCGGTGGTTCTTGACTT